CTAATTATCTAGTGCCCTTTGCAGAAAAAACAGACATATAGGGTCAGAGATGACCCTACACGCTCCACACAGCAGAAGAGAAAACATGTATTAAACCAAGACATGCTCTTTCAAGTTCCTTACCAACAAGACATCCTCTAAGAATGTGGGCCTTATTTACTTATTCCAGACACATCAGTCAATTCTGAAAGTTCTGCACCGCAATGTAACAACAGCTCTCTCTCTCAGAAAATAATGCAAAGGCTGGGTGGTGGTGGCGCACGCCTTTAATCCCAGCACTCAGGAGGCAGAGCCAGGCAGATCTCTGTGAGTTTGAGGCCAGCCTGGGCTACAGAGTGAGTTCCAGGAAAGGCTCCAAAGCTACACAGAGAAACCCTGTCTCAAAAAAAAAGAGAAAAAAAGAAAGAAAAGAATGTAATACTTCGATGAGTCATAACCATCCAGAACCTACACACATAAAATCTCTGCACAAAATTTCTTATTAGAGAACACTGGTGTGGACAGATGCTGTGACCTCAGGAGCTCTGTGCAACAAGAACACATTACTCTACCATGGTGGGGAGGAGGAGGACAAGGTACCCCAGTGTGGCATCAGTAAACAAAAGGAAAAATTAAGTTTATATTGTACACATTCCAGCTGCAAAAAACCGAATGACTATGGCCCACACCTCATGAGGTCACTGCTGCACCGTCCAACCAATTTCTATGCAAGGGGGCAGGCTCACGGATTGTAGGGAAGTCCATTAGGATTCTTATTCTTTTGAAAACTGAACTACTGTACCATAAGCTTCTGAAGGACCCAGCATATACATGGCATACAGACACAGGCAATTATTCTGGCTTCCTGCTGTCCTTCAGACCCCTTCTAACCAGTTCTTCCCCCTGCTGTCCAAGGAAAGGCTGAAGGATGGACTCCACAGGCTCAGTGAACAGACGGCCAGGACACTTGCTCCCTGGGAAGCCGCACTGAACATTTCTTGCAAATCAAATGTTACCAGTGGGATTTCTGTGGCCCTTCAAACACAGGCCAGTGAGACATGCTCATTATGGGCCTTTCACCTGAGAAGAAAACAGAGGTCCCCTGGGAAAAAGCTTAAAATAATAAATAAATAGCTCTGAGGCACTGCATGGTATACGCCAGCTCTGCTGGCAAGTGGGGTGCAGCCTGGTATGCAGGCGCTGGAGAGCACCACTGGAGAAAAGGGAGCACCGCTTTTTTGACAGGGTAACCCTGGGCAAGACGCAAGTGTCGGACAGCTAGCTAGCATCCTGCCTGTGGAACTGGACTTGTTGTGATAAACATACCAGCAGCAGCAGGGTCTGGAGGGTGCAGGGCCGTAGTATAGCTCTTGCTTAGCATGTTGGAGGGGGTCCCCCCAGTTCTACACCTACCATGATGGGGTGTGGAGGATGTGGGCAAAATCCAGTCCATGTTGTGAAGGTCCAGTGACACGTCCGAGCCACATAAATCAGACTCCCAGGTCAGACAGCTGCTTTCATCCACTGGGGATCTAATCATGTGTTTAAAATCAAGGAAGCAGGCAAGGCAAATAAAGCGGTTACCCAAGAATTAACTTAGAAATGAGGTCTAAGTCGCCTGCTGGAAGATCCAGGATGCTGTGACAGACAGTTTCTTTAAAGAAAACTCTATTTTCTGCTGCTCAGCAGTTTTAATTTGGATGCCTGTGATCTGATCAGAACTACTGCAGGTCATAGGCCGTGGGTTAAGTTTACAGCTGGGGCTCGCTTTCTCACCCTGCGGGACCTTGTGCTCACTAGGCATCTGCACAGTGCTGCCTACTTTCACGAGAGCCCCACACCACATGGCTAGCTGCCTTTTCTTGTCCACACCTTTGCAATGCACTCTGCTATCTATTACATAAGAGCCAGGGACAAATGCAAATACCTTACTGGAAGCGTCCTGAAGTGCTCAGTTCTGGCTTCTGCCTGCCTTGCTTCGCATATGATAACCTAACCACTGGACTCAGGAGTAACTTCTGATTTGGGTTCAGAGGACCCAGAGTGAAGGCGTTAATTCCAGCTTGAACTGTACATTTCACTACCCTCACCTTGAAAACCTGAACCTCCGTCCCAGCCTCAATCAGGCAGGTTCAACACCTGCTAACAAATCACACCACCCACTGGATACAGCAGGGGCCGCCTGGCTCTGCGGAGAACCTTCAACAACATCTTAACAGAGGAGTGAAGAGATTTACACTCTTGGAGTAATTTCCTGACCTGAGGATTACCACAAACTAGGTCACTTTCACTACCACCCCCCTTTTGTCTTCTCTTACCAAATCACCCCAGCTGTCTTTAACTCACCGCCCCCCCAACACTGTATAAACCCTCTGCTCTGCAGGCCAGCCCTGGAGAGAAGGTGGAGGCTGATTGCTTATCTACCCCATCTATCCCATATCCCAAGGCTAACATGACAAGACCATGGCTAGCAGGCCCCATTGGATAACACTCGGGAGTGTGAGAGGCTGCAGTTCCTTGGAAAGAGCCAGGGTGTCCTTTTCTGACACAGGTTTTGAAAACCTCCTTGTGGTCACTTACAAAGGGCTGCTCCCAAAAATATTACTGTCCCGGAACACAGGCCACAAGTTCAAAGCGTTTCTTCCGAATTTAAAAGGTGTTTATCACTAAAAAGGACCAGCCCCCTCTGCTATACCCCGAAGACTTCGAGGAGAGCAGGTAAGGGGCCCAGCTTTTTCTGAACTCATAGGAGGAGCTGCGGGTAAGTCTGGCACCTGGAAACCATACCACACACAAAGGCACGTGTAGGGTCACAGCTGGGCATCTAGATAACCCTCAACAGGTGACAATATAGGAGTCAATGCACTCAAAACGACTTAGAGCCACCCAAAAGGCATCGGCGAAGAAGACACGCAAGACTTCTAAAAAAAAAAAAAAAGAGCAAAGAGCAAAAACAAAAACAAAAACAAAACAGACCTACAGGTCCTCTCACAAGTTTGGGGTTAAGTTACCAGAACCTAGTGGATTTGGGGAGCAGTGGGGGTGCAAAGAAGAAGAGGTAAGGTGTTAATGAGCTCCCCGCCCACCCACCCAGACTGGGCAGCCAGAGGATCCGGGGTCGGCCTCCGAGACACCTGCCACCCCAGAGGCCACTCACCTTGAGGTAGTCATTTTCCGACCGCAGTTCCTCCATCTCCCTCAGCAACTCTTCTTCCTCAGCCACCACCAGGAGCCGGGGCTGCTCGCCCAAGTTAGGCTCCCTGGGAGTCCCGAGAATCGTCCGCTCCGGTGGCGTTCGGCCCCCAACATCCTCCACCGAACCGGGTCCCGGGGACCCTGAGGGGGCCCCGCCTGGGCTGCTTCGGCCCCCGAGACCGGCACCAGCGACAGGGGGCGCCGTGAGCAGCGCGGGGGACTCAGGGCTGCCCGGCGGCGGCCCGCGGGCTCCGGAGGTCTGGGTGGGTGCTCCGCGCAGGGGCTCCCGGTCACTGGAACCGGTACCCGACTCGGCGTCGCTGCTGGCGGCGGGGAGCAGACGCTGCTCATCAGACAAGGGTTCGGAGGCGCAGTCGGAGAGATCCGAGCTGCTGTCCGTGTGGCTGATACGCGAGCCGGCCACCGAGGTCACCGAGAGGGTCACGGCGGGGACCCGGGCGACGGGAGCCGGGGGCCCGACGGTGCGAGCTGGAGGAGTCCCGGGGCTGCGCTTGGCTTTGCGGCCCTTCGCGACGGCAGGCGGCGGCTCGGCCCCAGCCGGCCTCCCGACCCGGGACAGGGGTTCCGCGGGCCCCGCGCGCGCCGCCCTCCTGGTCCCCGGGGCGGCCTTGGCGCCACCCGCCGACCTGGCTCCGGCGCCCGGCGGCGGCTTGTCCTTCGCGCCGGGGACTACGCCGCTGCGTCGGGAGAGGCGGCCGGCTGCGGCCGGGGGCCCGGGCGACGGCGGCGCCTTCCCGGCGAGGTTGGGCGAGCGAGGAGCGGCGGGAGTCGGGGCACGGGCCGCAGAGGGGGTGGCCGTGGCGGGCCGCGTGTGCAGATCCTTGAGGAAAGGTCTGGCGGGCGAGGGTGCGCGGTGCAGCCGCCTCCTCTCGGCCAGCGGGTGCAGGTGATGGTGGCGGTGATGCTGGCCGGCTGGCTGCGGCTTGGAGTCCGCGGCGCCGCCGCCGCCCGCGGGGCCGTTCAGTGTCTCCATGGCCCGGGCGGCGGCCGCGATCCGCGGCTCAGGCGGCAGATGCTCCGGGCGGCGGCGGCGGCGCTGGCGGTGGCGTGCAGCCTCCCCGCGCGCCGGGTCATCACTGACCCCCTGCCCCGCCCGGCGTGCGCCCCGCGCTCCCGCCGTCCCCCTCCCCCTCCCTCGGCAGACCCGGGGGGGAGTTGCTCTCCCCTCGCTCAGGTCAACGGGCGCTCGGCTTCTCCTCCTGGTACGGCCGCGGCGGCCGTTCGCATCCCTTGCACCGTGCGAGCGTGCGGAGCTCTGGGGCAGCCGCGGCCCTGGCACAAAAAAAAAAAACAAAAAAACAAAAAAAAAACACTTGTCTGGCGGCGGCGGCGGCGGCGGCGGCGGAGGCGCGCGCCGGGCTCCTGCGTTCCGCTCCCCGCCCACTGCCAGTCCGCGGGGGACCGGCAGCCACGGCTTCTGCCCGGCGGCTCAGGCGGAGAGAAGCTGCACGCGCGTTCCCCCCCACCCCGCTCCGTCCCGAGCCCCGGCGCGCACGCCCCGCCCCCTGCCCGCCAGCCAGCCGGGCAGGGGGCGGGGCGGGCTGGAGGGCGGGGCCGGGGCTCGGGGGGGGGGGGGACGCCGAGCCCGCGTGCCCACGCGCCCTCGCCTCCAAAGACCACTCTTTGCCTTTGGATATACTGGGGACACCACCCAGAGCCGGCTAGGGAGGGAAGGCGCTGGGGTGAAGGGAGGGAAGAGGGCGAGCGAGCATCGGCCACTTGGGGACACTGAAGGTGCGAGCGGTGTGGAGGGCCCCTCTGCAGTGGGTGCCAGCTTTCTCTCCTTTCGGCCCAGCCCCCCCCCCCCCCCCCCCGTCCTTCTCCTGCCTTCCCTCATCAGTTCGCTCCCCAGAGCTTCTTTAAGGATCCCTGGGTACCGGATGCAGCGTCAAGCCCGGCACAGCGCTCCACAGTTGGCAGCCCCAGTGGCCTGGGCAGCTCCGAGAGGGAGTAACCGCTGTAGAAATAGGAGAAGAGAGCGGTTCGCAAAGCTTGGGGTCTGAAAGGGAGCTCACATTTATAGTTCCTGCGGCCTGGAGCCAGGCGCTGCTGATGCACGCTTTATCGTCCTAGTAACAATCCCGAATTGGAAACCCTGTCTTCAGAGTGAGACACGGGCGGGCGCGAGGAGGTGAAGCGGCTTGTCTGAACTCCGTGGCTGAGCCGGGATTCAAACCCAGGGCTGCAGGGGTCTCGGCCAGATACATTCGCCTTAGAGCACCAAGGAACCTGAGTACCGTCTCCGCCCCTCCGTGGGCGAGACGCTTGACCTTGTGAGTCTCGGATTCCTTCCTCACCTGTAGAATCAGAGAATGAAGATTTAATTTAATCTGGATGTGTTCCGACTAAATGAGGAAATAGGAGAAAAGTGCTTTTGACAGATAGTGAGCGTGGTTCATGTCCCAGGCTTTGCATGGGCAATGATAGATGTACCGAGGACAAGCTTAAATCATCCTTTCTCTAGCCTTGGCGTTTGGGAAACAGGGGGAATCCTGTGTTTTCCTGAAAGGGGCCAGTCCACAGCGCGGCGTATGGAGGGCAAGGCTTAGAGCTAAGGCTGTGGAGGGGAGAGGGGAGGATGCTGAGCCTGATTCATCTTTGCTGAGGAAGAACCCGGAGCAGCAGGATGAGACAGAAGGAGGTGAGTGGGGCAGCTGTGGCATAAAGAGAAGAAAGAAGGAGTGGACAGACTTGGAAATGTTAAAGAAAAACTGTACTCCAAAGTCTGTAATCTTAACGATATAATGGCCCTACTTAGCCGGAACTGTCCGAAGCTGCAGGAGAAACTGACTTTTTTTTTTTTTTTTTTTTTTAAGTATAAATCCGGAAAGTCATGCTCGGGGAAGATACCATGTCTTGGGGCTTAAGCTCAGACCCTATTGACACCTCCTCCACTCTGCTGCACTTACAGGCCTGGACTTTCCGAATCGCTTTTCTGGAAATCTTTTGAAAGGGAGACTCACAAAATATAATCCGTACTGAGTAGCCTTTGAGTCGTATTCCTGAGTTGGTTCGATTGTGGGCCAGCAGAGAGACTAGAGGCCGGCCGGCCGCCACGCTTGATTAACCGTGTCCACTAGAGGGCGCTCCAGTGTCCCCCTTCAGTACCAAAGTGGCCACTCCAGTCCCTTGCAGGTGACCTAGAACTCCCACATTCCTGAAGAATTACGTTCAGGACTCTAAGCACAGCATGCCACCTCTTCAGACTATACACAGTCACGCAAAAATCCACCCAAAAGCGTTGTCTTCCAAAAAACTCCGCAAGGCTGGTCCCCAACTTCCTTTTCCTTTAGAGAGGACAGGTTAGGGTGGTGGATGCTGCTGCACCTGGCCTGGGGCATTAGGTAATGCTTTGTTTTCCTGTTTTCTGTGAGTTGAAAGAGTCAGGTGGTTGTGGGGCTGCTGAGATGGCTCGCTGGAAACAAGTGTTTGCAGGGCAAGCCTGTGGACTGGAGTTCCAAGCCCCGCCCCCAGGTAAAAAGCAGAGCACGTCTGTGGTCTCCTTTAACTCCTGGAGGGAAGATCTGGTAGATAGATCCCAGGAGCTCACTGGCCAGCCAGCCAAGCAGAAACAAATGTGCTCTGGGGGCTCAAGAAAGTGAAGCAGAGAGAGAGAGGAAGACAACTGCCCTCCATACATACGTGTGCATCATGGGATGCACACTATACATACAACACCACACACACACACACACACACACACACACACACACACACACACACACGGTTCTGCCGCCTGTGGGCAAGAAAAAAGTCGACTGTTATTTGAAAAGAGATTTTTTTTTTCTGTTATCAAATTAGTCTAAAGATTCATGATTTATAATTTAAAGGAAACTTAAATTCCTCATTCTGTAGAACAACCACCAAACAAGATGTGCCTGTGCCTGGTTGGTCCCTTTGCCCTCAGATGTAGACCTTTCCTCAGCCCCCCATGTGGAAGTGATGAACCAGACTGCCTCCATCTTAGGCTTTAAAGCCATCTTATAGTAAAGACAAATTAGGTTCGTTCCTGTTTGTGATTAAATCTGTTTCTCAAGGATCAGGAACCCTATGCTCCACCTGTAACCTTAACTACAAAAAGTCCTGTACTGCCTGTTCCAGGAAACAGCAACCATGACTTTGTTTCAGAAAGTTGTTATAACTGGGGGTTGGGGATTTAGCTCAGCGGTAGAGCACTTGCCTAGCAAGTGCAAGGCCCTGGGTTCAGTCCTCAGCTGGGGGCTGGGGGGAGGTAAAGTTGTTATAACTGGCTTGCAACCCTACTCTTGTTTCAAAAGCTTGTTTATGACCACCTGTTGTTACGATCACCTTGCAATCATGTTTTGTTTCAGGAGGTCGTTAGGACTAACTTGTTATGTTCTGCTCCTGTAACCCAGCCTGTTTTGCACACCAAACCCCCCATTTGGAAACCCCCTACTCCTGAGCCATGAAAACCCTGTCTTCCTCTCATCTGACGCTGACCTCTTGAACCCTGCCTTAGGGGGAAGGCACTCGGTGTGCACAAATAAAAAGCTTGCTTTACTTCATGGCTGGCTTTAATTAATTTGCCCATGATGATTTGGGTCGGATTAATTTCCTCGAACCTTTGGGCGTAACAGAAGGTGGCCAGCACAAGAGTGGTCTTGCAGGCTTCTGCCATTGTGGACTGGGTTCGGACAGGGGCCCGCTGTCAGGAGATTGGAGTGGGCCAGGAAGAGAGGAAGCAGGTACTAGGCTCTGTTCTCAGCCTCAGGTGGCCTCTCCAGCAGGGGCCAGTCTGAGTGGCATTCTGAGTTATCTGGCTGTCCCTGGGTGATCTGCGTCTTCTGGTAACTGTCCCATCACCTGATGAAGGAGATTCTGGCCTGAATTCTGTGCTCGCCCATCTCTGCACCTCTTCAGTGCCTCCGTTTTGACTCCGGGTTCCTTTGCCATCTCCGTGGCCGACTGTGCATGGGAACCATGCTGTCTCTGGAGTATGCACTCCAGGGGTCAATTTTTCTTCCTCGGCAGAGACTGACGTGAAGTTCTTTGAAGTCGTGCACTCAGCACCATTTATAGCTAGCTGTATTGTCACCTCCTTGTCCAAGAGCAGTGTGCTGCGGTGGCCAGGGCTGGGGCACGGATAACAGGCAAACCTGGTTCCAAGTCCTGCCAAAGTTATTTGTTCTCTGTGAACTTGGATGTGGACTTGACCCGGATTTCCTTTGTCCCTCCCCCCCCCCCCCCCGTCCTCCCCCACCCCTTCCCTTTCTTTTCCTTCCTGCCTTCCTGCCTCTTTCCCTCCCTCCCCTCTCCTCCCTCCCTCCCTTCCTCATTTTGCTATGTTGACCAGGCTAGCCTTATTCCTGAGTTCATGGAATCCCCCTGTCCCCGAGTTAGCTGGGACCACAGCCCAGCCGTGTGCTTCTTTGGAACTCTGAGCATTCCTGTGGGAGTCAGTGCCACTCAAGAGAATGGAGCTGTCACTGTAAACACCTGCGCTTGTCTTCCTCGTAACAGTTGCTTCTAATTAAAGGGTCCTTAGTTATGTATTTTCTGCTCTGTTTATATGTAAATTTTATTTAGTAAAATACGCAATTTATTGTGAAATGCCCTTGGTTTTTATTATTACCACTACAGCATTATGTAAGTTGTTGGTGTGTGTGTGTGTGTGTGTGTGTGTGTGTGTGTGTGTGTGTGTGTGTGAACTTTTTACTGGGGTCTGTCATGGTTGGGAAATGTCACCTTATGGCATGCCTTTCCTCCCCCCCCCCCCCCCCCCCCCCCCCCCGCCATGTCCATTCTCATCCTTTTGGGATTATTCCCTTCCCATGCCCCACCCCGAGACGAGGTCTCATTGTGCATATCCCTGGCTGTCCTGGAACTCTGTGTAAACCAGTTGACGTCAAACTCACAGAGATCCTCTGCCTCTGCCTCCCGGGTGCTAGGATTAAAGGCATGCGCCACCACGCCAGTCCTAGCTTTTAAATAAATATATATGTCTAGAGTAATACACATATAATAGTCCTCATTTCATGTAAAGGACATTTCCTAAGGGTTGTAAAAATGCACTCGGGGCTAAGGAGCGAAAACCACAGCCTCTTGCCCAGACAGAACTGAGCCGAGTTGGAGAGTATGCCCCCTGGTGGTCGACGTTGGAAGGACATCCTCTCCGGTCGGGAGTTCAAAAGAGAATTTCAAAGTTAGCCTCAGGTGGGGCGGAGATTAGGTCACAATGGGAGTGGGTACCCTGTGCAATTTAGAATAGCTTCCAGGAGATCCTAAGAGGCTTCTTCTCATCAAAGGCTGCAGAACTCCCTTAGACAAGCTTTGGCATGTTTGCCAACCTTGGAATTAAAATTTTGGACTCTTTTCCTCTGGCAACGTAAGTGCTAAATTTTTTAAAATTATATTTAAACGCTGTTCTGGGCCTCTAAGCTTGGTGCACAGAGAAAACGTGTTGTTAAATAAGGAAAAGTAATGGGAGCTCTCTTCCCTGGTCAGCACCGTCCGTGTGCAGCTACGGTTGTCAGTCTTGATTTAGAACGTTGCAATTTTCGCTGCCGCACACTGCAGGCTGCCTTTTGCCAGCTTTTGTTGTAGTTCACCAGGGCTTATTTCTGTTTCCACAGAGTTACTAGCCCTTCAAAACATGGATAAAGGTGGGAGGGCTGGGAAGGCAGCTCAAGGATAACATGCTAGGGTAACCTTAGCACGTGTGCGGTCCTAAGTTCCAGCTCCAACACCACAATAAATAAATAAATAAATAAATAAATAAATACATACATACATACATACATACATACATACATACATAAATACATAAATAAATACATAAATACATAAATAAATGCATAAATAAATAAATACATAAATAAATAAATACATGAATGAATGAATGAATGAAAATGGAGACGATACCAACAACCCTTTCTTTCATTTGTCTTAAAAGACTTATTACAGCGGGGCATGGTGATACACGCCTTTAAGCTCAGCACTTGGGAGGCAGAGGCAGGCTGATCTCCGAGTCCGAGGTCAGTCTAGTCAACAGAGTAAATTCCAGGACAGCCAGGGCTATACAGTGAAACCCTGTCTCAAAATTTAAAAACAAAACAAAATTATGTGTGTTTGTGCACCTGCCTGAGTTTATGGTCACAGCATGCACACACAGGCACATGCAGAGGTCAGGGAGCGTCAAGTCCCTGGAACTGGAGGAGTTACAGGCAGCGGTGAGCTGCCTTGTGTGGGTGCTGGGACCCGAACACGGCAAGTCCTCTGCAAGAGTGGTAAGCATACTTCACCACTGAGCCATCCCTCTAGACCCCTGGAACCATTTCTTCTTGGACTCTGGCCAACTTTCCTTCTGATTTTTACGTATAATGAAGAAAGTAAAACTAGAAAAACGTATGTATAGAAAGTTCCAGAGCAGATCATACTATGAAATGAGCATCCTGATGAATCAGGAGATGAGACACTGTGGGGTCCCATACAAAAAATACACTTTATTGTCTCTACATAAAATTACTGTCTGGCTGGGGCTGGAGAGATGGCTCAGAGGTTAAGAGCACTGACTGCTCTTCCAGAGGTCCTGAGTTCAATTCCCAGCATCCACATGGTGGCTCACAACCACCTGTATCAAGATCTGGTGCCTTCTTCTGGCCTGCAGTCATACATGCTGTATACATAATAAATAAATAAATCTTAAAAAAAAATTACTGTCTGGCAAATATTGCTAATAAAAGTTGAGGTGGTGTGAGTTCTAGGCCTGGAAAAATTCTTTGTCCACAAAATAACTCAGTCTTCCCAGCTGTTAGAGACTCCACCTATATAATTAAGACTCTGAACTTTAATAACTTTATAATATACCTTTCAGATTTATGGATCTAAAGGTTGAAATGAACTTGCAGACGCTAATTATCAATATGGGATTATCCATGGTAAGTTGTAGGTCACGTCTGTTCGTTCCCAGACAAATCAGACTGGAAGATGGTGAGCTGGGGCTGGAGTTGAGAGTCTGTATTCCAGTCCCAGCACAAGGTCCAGAGGCTTATGACCACCTGTAATTCCACCTCTGAGGATCTAATTCCTTCTTCTGACTTTCTTATACACATGTTATATACCCATGTTCAAAAGACATATGCATATACATAAATAAAAATTAAAAAATAAGATGGTAGGGCTGGAGAGATGGCTCAGAGGTTAAGAGCACTGGCTGCTCTTCCAGAGGTCCTGAGTTCAATTCCCAGCAGCCACATGGTGGCTCACAGCCATCTACAATGAGGTCTGGTGCCCTCTTCTGCATGCAGAATACATTTGTATATGTAATAAATCTTTTAAAAAAAATAAGATGATAAACACATTGTAATGGATGACTAATATAGTGAGGAAAGTTAATATGATGGAATGCATTTATTGAGAGCTAACCATGTTTTATGTAATTTTCCTTGTTGAGGTAAGGTGGACAGTTGAGGTAGAATCTCAATATGTGTCCAGGCTGGCCTTACACTCACCATCCTCCTGCCTCAGTCTCCTTAGTGCTGGGATTGCAGTTTTATGCCAATCACATTCAGCTTTAACTTTAGAATGCATTTGCGTTTAAATATCACTCCCTAGAATTTGGGAGCAGAGAAGGATTTTAAGGAATATTTCCTGTCCTCACGTGTCCCCCTGTGTTTCGGGGACCCCATATCTGGCATCTTCCAGTTAGTGCTTGGAAGCAGTTTCCCCTATGATGCAATTTATTATCCAGACCATGGAACATTTATGACTCCATAATTACATGGATAGCAGGTAAGAACCAGACCCGGCCTGGGCAGCTCAGGCTGTGTGGTCACTGTATGATTAACGCACATTCCTCAAGGAAGGAATGTCTCATGTCAGGCTGACTCATCCTTAGGAGACATGGACACTTTTCATTTTGTTTAACTCTTTCCGATAGACCTGGGGTAGAAGACAGGAAGAAACCCAGTTCACCTACTCACTCACATTCATTGGAAGACTATTGATCAAATACCTACGGTGCTAAATTTCGTATAGACATTAAGAGTTCTGAGGCTGGAAACCACAAAGCATGGTGCCTGCCTTTGGAGGTCTCCTAAGATAGGAGCTGTTATGCAAAAGAAAACAGCTGTCACTGACATCCAGAATTTTTCTCCACTGTCATCCAGGCCTTCATGCCTGGCTCTCTAGGCCCTGTGTTTCATCTAATGTAAACTATGTCAGAGTCTCAGTATCACAAAGGGCCACTCTGGGACCATGCAGGATCAAAAACTAAACAAATCTTGAATCTTACGTTATCCAGTACTATTCATTTTTCGACACACAAACACGGACGCATGTCAGGTCACGAACACTATAGTTTATATTGTGAATCTTCTACATTTGCATGCTTTTTGTTACCAGAACGGCGGAAATATTGCTGCCCAAAGAACTCAACTGTTTTTATTTTGCTTTGTGAGAGTCATATGTCCTACCAATACTTGTCAGCTTTATGGGGTGAAAGGATGATAAACTCGGAATGGGGTGGCCCCATCTCTCTGTACATGGCCGTAGTTGGGGGG